TCCCGGGATGCGCCCGCGGATCCCTGCCCTGCTAGGAGGAATCCCGGGATATTCCCCCCCGTAATCCTCTGGCGTTATTGCCCCCGGGTTATTCCACCATAACCCCCAGGATAAATAAAATCCCAGGATATCACCCCAAATCGCTCTGCCGTGGGGAAAAATCCCAGGATATTCTCCCATACCCTTTGCCCAGGTGAAAAATCCCAGATTTCCCACCCCCCCTGCTAGGGGAAATCCTATATGACTCCCCCCTATCCCTTTGCTGCACGGAAAAATCCTGGGTATCCCATACACCCCTCCCGGCTAGGAGAAATCCTGGGATATTCCCCCAAAACCCCTTCAGCATGGGGAAAATTCCCAGGTTATCCAAAGCCCTCCCTTCCTAGGCAAAATCCCAGGCTATCCCCCCCAGTTTATCCCGATATTCCCGCCCGCGCTCACTTGATCTCGTTGGGCGCCTCCTCGTGCCGCCGCCGGCGCCGGAGGCTCCGGAGCTGCATCCCGAGGAAGAGGAGGAGGCCGCAGCCGGCCAGGGAGCCCAGGACGCCGCCGGCGATCACCGCCCCGGAGCCGCCTGCCGGGGCGTCCCTTTGGTCCCCATGTCCCCCTGTCCCCATGTCCCCATGTCCCCGTCCCGCCATGTCCCTGCGGCTCCGCGTCCCAATCCACCATATTCCCACATCCCGCCATGTCCCTGGGACCCCATTCCACCACCTCCCGGTCTCTCTCTGTCCCCGTGTCCCTGTCCCACCGTGTCCCCATGTCTGCAGGTGCCGCTTTTCCCACTGTGTCCCCGCATCCCTGTGTCCACATGTCCTTGTGTCCCCATGTCCATTCCCACCATTTCTCCAGATCCCGACATCCGTGTCCCCATCCCACCGTGTCCCCATGTCCCCATGACCCTGTATCCCCATCCCACCGTGTCCCCACACCCCCGTGTCCCTATGTCCCCATGTCCCTGTGTCCCTGTGCCACCGTGTCCCCATGTCCCCAAATCCCCACGCAATGTCCCCATGCCACCGCGTCGTGTCCCTGTCCCACCATGTCCCCATGTCCCTGTGCCGCTGTGTCCCCACGTCCCCGTGTCCCTGTCCCACCATGTCCCTGTGCTCCATGTCCCTCTGTCCCTGTCCCACCCTTTTCCCAACCCTCCCCCATGTCTCTGTGTCCCACCCCACTGTGTCTCATGTCCCCAAGTCCCTGTGTCCCCAGGCCACCATGTCCTCATCCCACTGTGTCCCAATGTCCCTGTGACCCTGTCCCACTGTGTCCCAATGTCCCCATGTCGGCCCCTGTGTCCCCATGTCCCCGAGTCCCCAGGTCTCCAGGTCTCCATATCCCTGTATCCCCATGTCTTTGTGTTCCTGTGTCCCTGTATCCCAATGTCTCCATGTCCCTGCGTCTCTGTCCCACTGTCCCCATACATCTGTGTGCCCGTGTCCCCATGTACCTGTGTCTCCATCCCACTGTGTCCCAATGTCTCCATGTGCCTGTGTCCCCATGTCCATGTCCCACTGTGTCCCAATGTCCCCAGGCCCCCATATCCCTGTGTCCCTCTGTCCCAATGTCCCCCTGTCCCCATGCCCCCGTGTCCCTCCCACCCAATGTCCCAATGCCCCCATATCCCCATATCCCTGTGTCCTGGTGGCCCCATATCCCTCTGTCCCAATGTCCCCATGTCCCAATGCCCCCACGTCCCTTTGTCCCAATGTCCCTGTGTCCCCATGTCCACGTGTCCCCATGTCCCCCTGACCCAATGTCCCAATGCCCCCATATCCCCACATCCCTGTGTCCCAATGCCCCACATTCCCGTGTCCCTCTGTCCCCACCTCCCCATGTCCCCCTGTCCCCATGTCCCCATGCCCCCATATCCCTACATCCCCATGTCCCTGTGTCCCCACACCCCGTGTCCCCAAGTCCCCGTGTCCCCACATCCCTCTGACCCAATGCCCCAATGTCCCCATATCCCCATGTCCCTCTGTCCCAATGTCCTCATATCCCCACATCCCTGTGTCCCGGTGGCCCCATGTCCCCATGTCCCCATATCCCTCTGTCCCCTTGTCCCCATGCCCCCACGTCCCCATGTCCCCACATCCCTCTGACCCAATGTCCCAATATCCCCACATCCCAGTGTCCCCACATCCCTGTGTCTCAGTGTCCCCACATCCCTGTATCCCGGTGGCCCCATGTCCCCATGTCCCCATGTCCCCATATCCCCACATCCCTCTGACCCAATGCCCCAATATCCCCATATCCCTTTGTCCCCATGTCCCCAAGTCCCCACATTCCCGTGTCCCCATGTCCCCGTGTCCCCACGTCCCCGTGTCCCCACGCCCCCCGTCCCCGTGTCCCCACATCCCTCTGTCCCCATGTCCCCATGCCCCCACGTCCTCGTGCCCTCACATCCCTCTGACCCAATGTCCCCATGTCCCCATATCCCCACATCCCTGTGTCCC